CCACAAGCCCCAAGCTGCTTCCGTGGGGCTGCTTGACCCTGCAGGGGATGCTCGGACTGTGGCCACAGGGGCCTGATCCTGTGGCCAGGAGGTTCTGCGGTGCAAGGCAGTGGCCAGCACTGGGTCTTCAGTCTGCAGAACCCAGTGCGGAGTCCCTGCCTGCATCTCTCAGGGCCATGGTGGTGATGGGCGAGAGGACACAGTAGGATCTTCCAGGCAGGTCCACGCCGTAAGCGCAGATCCTGAGGTAAAGGGCAAACGGAGCTGTGTGAGTGTGAAACCAGGAGGAACCTGGTGTCCTCTGTGTGCTGGGCAGTTGTGGCACAGGAGCAGGACTGTCTCTCCGCTCCTTGCACGGCCCTGACCCCCACACTGTGGGGACCACAGACCCCTGCTCTCTCTGGGTATCTTCTGCTCCATTAGCAGCTGCCACATGGGCTGGGGACACCTCTCAACATCCTCCCCACAGCGTGGTCCCCTCCTGTGCAGCCAAGGAGATAGGTCTTCTCCTCCTTCCTCTCCTGCCTCTCCTCCCCTGCTGTGCCCTGGTCCTGCGTGGCCACCCGGCAAGGGCAGGTGGGTGCTGGGGGCTCATCCCCTTGCAAGATGACCCCAAGGAACAGGGCTGAAGTGCTGCCAGGCTGGGTAGGGATCAAGCTGTACCCAAATGAGTGGCAGCCAAGGCACAAGCCCCATCCCTATACAGGGCTGCAGGTCCCCTGCAAGCCACGGAGCAGGGAGAACTGTGGCTTCACGGCCACCAGTACCTGGGGAGAGGGCACTCAGGGAGACACGCTGGGCTGGAGGGGCAGGGAGCGGGGAAGCAGCACGGCTGGGAGGGGAGGCAGTAGGGCTGAGGGACCGCTTTCTCCTGGGACCAGACAAGGCAGCGAGCACAGCACCAGTTGGGAATGGCCACTTGGCAGCATGTCTGAAGCTCACGGTTCTGCACCGGAGCCCCCCACCTGTGGCTGGGCACCGCACGCCTGCGCGTGGGGGGCACGAGGCCATGACGAGGGACTCTGCAGCGTGCAGAGGGGCTCCGGCTGCCCCCCAC